AATATCAAATATCAAATATCAAATATCAAATATCAAATATCAAATATCAAATATCAAATATCAAATATCAAATATCAGATATCGATAGTAAATATCATCCAATTTACAGCAGCCATATGATATCATATTCATTTTAACTATGCTTACCATCTAAATCATCAAGCCTATACCATCGATCTTGTTCCTATGCCAATAAAAAAATAAATAAATAAATAAAAGTTGGAAAGTTGGATAAAAATTCTTCTGCTGCCTAACAACTCTATTGGGCTATACTTACATCGTCTAATGTATAACCTTTATAATGTCCGTGTGTAGGTGATTCGCCATAATGGCAAACAACTGATCGTAGTTTTAAACGATATTGAATGTCAACGCCACAATGACATTGCTCATCGGCTGCATCCGAACTTACAAAAGAATTAAAATTGACTGATGGCGGAATATATATTTTCTTCTTTATTCTAAATGGCCGTGTTTGGTCATTGTAACCATATCGTTTCAATACCAATGGTAGGATCAGATGGTTGGTTGGAAAATGCGACTCAATTGCATTTGTTTTTTCACCTACGTAAACGAATCGATCGTTTCAAATTTATGTTTTAAATTAATAATTTTTGGTTAAAGTTTTCATTACCTTGTTCATTACTTGCTGAGTAAAACGGCAAAAGTTTTAGCATTTGCCATGCTGAAACTGGAATCTCAGTTTGTTTCATATCATCTGATGAAAACCGTTTTATTCCAGATACGACATTATCATGAAAATGTGTTATTAAAACTTCTTCCAAAGAAACAGGTGTTTCATCATGTGGATCACCCGGTATAGCTACTTGAATCAAACGTTCGGTTATAACTCGCTCATCATTTGGATCTTTACTTCCTCCATGAAATAAATGAATCCCAAGTGGAAGATAGGGAAGTTCATAAAGGCATGATAGAAATAAAAACAATTCACTGGCGTCCTCTTGTGTTGGATTTTCATTTTCATCTTTACCAATCCAGCCACAGTCAAACAAACATTCGCGCAATTGCTATTAATGTTAACAACGTCATCATTTTTAACTTTTCATTATTTAAGTAATTGTTTGCTAATTTCCCCTCACCTTAACCATATAAGCATTTATATGTTTCCCCTTTCTAAGCCGATTCACAAATAATCGTAAATTCGTCTGCAAAGTTCTTACATTCATTCCTTCTGGTTGAGTAAAAAGTAAGCCGTCAAAAGATCGTGTTTTCGCGAACATTGCAAACATCAAACTATCTGTAAATGATCATATTAATGTATGTGGTAATTTACATTAGTCGACTAACTGATTTAGAGATTCGCTCGTTACCTATATAACAGCTAGTAAATCGATCATTTTCTGATCCAAGCATGATTACGTCTTTTCGAATGTCTGATACTAGTCCATATTCTGCTTCTATTAAATCATCACAATAATCCGCTACTTCCATCACATTCCATGAATTTCCTTCCAACAATTTTTCTAATTGTATTGTTTCCAAAGGATGTCCCAACTCCTCTAAATAAGTACGCAGTTGATCTATCTTACTTTCTTGTTCTGTGATTGTTAATTCGACAAGTTGGGTTGAATCTTTTCCAGAATTAGGAAAAAAGTAATGATTAATGCTGTCCTTAATTCTACCTACTGGTGAACGTGTTCGTTTTAAAGGAGATACTCTCCCTTGAACATTAGGTTCTGAGACCTCCATGATATAAAAAGCAAACTTTGGAATGGATGTGTTCAACTTATACGTATATATATATATATACTGCGATATGATAATGATAATTGTCCTAATCTGATTTATTACGTACCGGTACTAGTTTTTCTTGTTTAGGTTTAATTCAGGTTTATTTAAATTAAAAACAGGTCATGTTACACATGTAAAAAAAAAATTTTCCACCAGGTTTTTATTGGAACTATATTTCTAAAAAAGGTGTTCTATTTTCAACCTCTAAGTGTGTACATACGTACGTATCTTCTTTAAATGTTACTGTATTTGTTACGCTCTATTTGCAAATTTACTATAAATACACTCACCGATTTTTATCTAATGCATGTACTACACATTCGTTTGAAGTCGCTGAATGCTTTGTCGTTTACAAGATTTTTGATTCTAAATTGTGATTATTACTATTAAATTTAAATATCGGTTTCTTAACCCAACCGGATCAAAATTTGAAACTAGTCAGTTTTATGAATTTGTACTGTACGTATGTATATCCTTACGTTACATACTTATATCTTTGTTAGCTTATTGAATTAAAAAATGTTAAGTAAATTTGGAAACGTAATTTAAATGGAAGATGGGATACTCATGTATTTCTGCAAGCGATAAAAATAATTAATTAAAATATGTCATAAATTTAATATATATATACTGCATATTGCCTTTAAAAAAAGTTGATTATTAATCAATTGATTTAGAATAGTTATAAGCATTATAAATTTAATCTAAATATACATATGTACTGTACATGCGACGTATTGTATATATTAAAATTAAAAATATATTTTTTTTTTTGGAAATAATTATATTTAACTGAAGGTAAAATAATATTTATATTTTTTAAAAAAATAAATAAATTAGATAAATTATGGTCCAATAGAAGACAAACCATTTTTATGGTTAAAAAAAATTTGTTAGTTTAATTTGACTAAAATAACTAGCAAAAAAATTCAGATTTTTTTCGTTTTTACATATAAGCGAACTACCTTTTCTTATTTGATCCATAGAGATCCGAAAGTTTGAAACGACACTTCAGAACTTGAAAAACGTACTTGTAAAAAAATATTCACTGGTCAAACAAACAACTGGGAAGTTGCAATATTATCTAAAAAAGAATTCAAACCTCTATTATGCTGGAATGTAATATTCCACTATATATATTGTTTTACTATATATAAGAATATGTAAAGTATATTTATAGTATTTTATTGGATTTTCAAAACTTTTTTTACTAGCTTCTAGAATTGCAAGTAGATTAAATATATAGTTTATATATTGGTCAATCCGTTACTGCGCTTAAAAATTCATTTTCTGGTTTA